AAATCATCGAGCTATTCGCGGTGTTTGTATTCAATATATCTCGAGAACCCTAATCAGGAGAGACTGGCCCAGTCGTCAATTTGGTGGTACGCTTCGACCAACCAGTCCCATACTAGGAATTACATACTCGCTCTTCGAAAATCGTCTTAACGAATTCCGTGAAGCAGCCGAGCCGAGAGAGAAGCCAGCAAGAATGGCGCGTCCCTTTCCCGATGTGAAATTACAGTTCTGTTTCTCTGGCTTGTCATTATCCGAGTCCCGAGGCCCTCCGAGCCAAGCGCAGACTGCGTATACGTGCCCTCCAACTTTCCCCAGGACGCGACGTTCGTGCAATTGCGACTTCTTTTTTTCTTTTTTCTTTCTTTCTTTTCTTCTCTTTCCACTCTTCTCCCCTTTCCCATCGCGACGTTTCTGCCCGCCCTCTTAACCATCGCCTTGTTGCTAGAAATCTTGGAAAAATTCTAGAATCCGAGCCTCGCGATCTTCATTCGCAACAACGACGAGAAGGTAAGCATTAATAGACGAAAGGCGAGCGTTACTTTACGCGTTTACGCGACGGATTCGTACCAACGAACGATTTTTGTTTTACGCGACAAAGGATACAATAGTCCTCAGTTGGGGACCGAAAGGAGATGCTTAAAGCGGGGAGGTGTATTCTGCGAACTGGCACCGAACGAAAGAGTGGGGATGAGCGTCAACTGTTTCACCGGCCGCGTGGAGTGGGGATAGTCCCAATTCCAAGAATAGGTGGGAATAGCGACAAACTAGCTGAAAAGTGCGGAATACTTAACTAGGGGCTACTGTATACCCAAAGGATGAGCAAGAGAGGGGAAACGGGCCTTTGGTGAAACGAACGTGCACGCAAACTATCGCGTGACGACGGAAAACGCACGAAAAGGAGACATCTCGGACAATTGGGAAACGAGTTTCCGCAAAACGATTACCGACTTCCGTTACATCGGAAGCGTATCCTCGCGGTCCCCGGTTCGCGTTCCGCACGCCATCGTCATTATCCGGATACGTGGTAACTGTATGCGTGCCGTTCAAACGGAACACGACCATCGTTCTAAAAACGAAACAAAAAATAGAAAATTCCGCTTACAAGCATGGAATAGATTTTAACTTTTCGCTACGTCGTTTCCGTTCCGAAACGGCGAAAATGCACCAACTGGGGGACTGTCGTTGATGAAATTTCCTCGCGTCGAGATTCTGGACAAGAAAACTCGAATTCTTGACTCAGGCGGCCAAGATGACTAATTTATAATTTTAATGAAACTTTATATATAATAATTTATAATTTTTGTATGTAATAATTATATTGTTTATAATTTTAATATATAAAAGATATAATTTTACATATTTATGACAGTGTATTTTTTAGATGCTCGATTTTGACGATTTTTAAAAACATACATTAACAGAAGCTTGCGTTCTTCATTGTATTGCCAACATTTCTTTGCCACGAGTGTTATACTTTAGCCGCCGGTGATTCCGATGATGATACCGAGTCGAAGTCGAGTTTTTCCGAGTCGCAACAAGGCGGACGAGCGAGGCGCCGAATATTTCGAATATTTCATAAATAAACCATGACCGAGGGGGCGTTTTTCCATGTCGGGCGACTCGTCCAACGCGCGGCACGTGTGTAATTGGCTTCGTTTGTCGAAAAACGTGTCGGTCAGTGGTTCGAACGAAGTGCGCCGCGACGTCGGCATTTCCAGTTTTTCGTTGCCACGATCGCCGGGGTTTGTAGCACCCTGGACGCGCGCATCGCATCGTCAGTGGCCCCTCCTCCCCCCTTTCCCACCCAAGTTGCTCGCCAGATCCCAATAAAATACGGAATTATAACGCGCTCGCCTTCGCAACAGACGTAGCCGGATGTTGCCGCTGGTTGCAACTAGCCACTTTCCACCGGCGGCGGAACGTGCGCATCGAGAGAACATTCAACCGAGAACATTCGCGCATCAACGATTTCGCTCGAGTTTCATCCTTTGTTCTTTACGTTTGTCCGTCGAGCGTGCAGTACACAGCGCGGCCCAGAGTCCGGCAGCGCACACGCTCTAAATATAACACGTAACTTTGATAACGTCGCTACCAACCGTCCTCGACCAGTCCAAATTGTTTGCAAATGCCTTTCTTTTTCGTCGATAACATTTTACGTTAATACACCAGAGCTTTCACGAGCGACGAGAATAATTACTTCGGCTAACCAATAAAATAACCGATGGCAATAACGAGAGACAGAAAGATAAGGGAAAGGAAAGCGTCGATAGGTATCGCAACCGAGGTCTTTTCTCCTATTTCAAATATGAAACGAACAAACGAGGGGGAAAAGTGGGAGAAGGACGAAAAAAAGCAGGTTTATTTCGTGCGTTTCGCGAGTCTTTTGGACGAGTTCGGTAACTAGTAAGAAACGGTCGGTCGAACAGTTTACTCATCCAACCGTTTTCGCTCCTGCTCTGCAGGAACCCTCTCGGTGTTCCTTTTTCTCGGAATCGTCATCGACGCGATACACGCCGGAAGAAGAAAGGGGGGAAAAATCGCTTACGGCGAAAAGGAGTGGAATCTTAGTTATGTATCTCTCTCTCTCTCTCTCTCTCTTTCGCTCCCTATCTTTGTCTATTCTTCTTACTACGGATGCGAGTAATTGTTTTTTTTCGAAACGACCGGGTCGTACACTTCTCTGTCTCTTTTTCTGCAAATACGCCCAAGAGAAGAAACTATAGATGTGATAAAGAATAATCGAGAAGAAAATCTAGCAAACGACATATAAATCACCGGAGATACGAGTGTGTTTCTAATGTGTCTCTAATTCTTGTATGCGATATTTTTTCTCTATCGCGTAAGTAGGTATAAAATAAGTAGCCATGTAGATAAATGCTTTATGAGTTTAAATGGCGGAAGTAACTAGCAGTTACAAAAACGTTCGGAAATATGCAAAAGTCAATAATTTCAACTTCTTAACCGAATGAATGACGAGTATACTCGAGTCATGCACAATTTGTTACTTAAATTTTTCGTAGAAAATAAAACATATTTGTAAATTTTAAACTTAATTTGAGAACATTTTGAAATTAGACTTGACTAGTTCCTTTTTTTACATCATTTTTAAATATTTTCCTGCTATTAATGTTAATTATTATTAAAACTAGCAACATTTACTTGTAATTTAATTCAATTTCACGACAGCTGCATATATTCAGTGTCTGACGTAACCGAGTATAATCGTTCTAGCGACATAATGCAGATGTATACATCTTTAGAAGTAACACCACAGCTAAGAGGTTGAAGAACGTATAAACCATATGCTAATTTGATTTCTCAAATCCCTAGTTATCAAAAGCCAAAGATCTACAAATTCGAGGATTATAAAGAGGTTAATCGTCTATAAAGAAGATATTTCCGAGAAGAGGAAGTGACACATTCTCCACACAGGACACGCACACGCATATATATATACATGCAAAAAAAGTGGACGGGGCCCGTTGGAATCGATGAAACGATGTAGTTCGATAAGAGGAACGAGAGAGTTGGACGACCCACGCACGAACATCCGCATAATTTCGTGCGTGTTCATGGTCGGGAAGTGGCATGCGGCATGCTTTAGATGGACACGCTCGATAGAGACGTAACAGGTGTGGACAGGGAACAGGAGCGTGTGGCCATACGTTCGTTAACCCTCGGGACTTTTCGAGAACCTCGAAAGCGACAGCCTCTTCTCCTCGAGAAGCAGAGACCGGCGAATACGTGGAACAAATATACCGTTTGACACCTGGAGGAGCATAAGCGACAGAGAGAAAGAGAGAGAGAGAGAGAGAGATAGCGCGGCGCGCACAATGGCACAGTCGGGCTAAGGTTCCACACTTTGTGCCGGGAATAATGAAGTTCCTGGCGCGGAAGGGATTCGGCAAATCGGTCGGTCGCGACCCTTCCAACGCCGCTTCTCGGAACCCCGTGTCTTTGTTAGAGCTTGGCCTGCGGTTACCGACAGGGGACACACGGCCAAACGGCGTCTCAAACTGCGACCCCCTACAGCGATTTTCATCTCGTACTTCGGCCGTACCGTGTTTCTAGATTTATCGTGGAATAAACAAGCGATTCGCAGAAACGTTATTACCGGGTGACGTGACGTGACTCGGCCGCTTCGCCGCGCCGCCTCGTCCCACCGTCTCTCGCCTAGAAGCGTTCCTCGCAATCTCAAACACAACCGATCGCTTCTTCCTTCTCCCTTTTACCAATATATATCGGCCCGACAGTCGGCTCCGTTCGGTCATGCGAAACCTGTTACGCATTTCGCAAACCGTTCTTGCAAACAAGGTAACGCGGATTTCCAATTTTCCAATGTTTATTCGCAAACTGTCTTCACCGTCTTCCTTTGTCCCGCGCGTGTGTACCTTGCCCCAGAGACAGTCGTTTGTTTTAAATCGACTAATAACCGGTTTAACGTATCCCTCTACGGCCCTTTTTTCCCCTTCAGAGAAAAGAAGAGAGGAAAAAAAAAACACAAAGGATGTATTTCGCAAAGATGAAGCAGAGACCTGCAAGAACCGCTTCCAAGTATTCCAGGTTGAGTTTGACCAAAAAAGTGGCGAGAAATTGCATCAGCCTACGCAAGCGTCGGGAATATCGTTAAAACCGTGAAAGCGTGACTCGGAACGTCCGCAGTAAAATCGGAGATTCCGCAACGTTTCTTCGTCGCATCCGTCAGACGTTTCTCGTGTGTTCGTCGTCGTTCGACGTGCGTTCATCGTCGAAGGCGACGTCAAGGCTCGAAAACAAAAACAGGCCGTGTCGATGAGAGTAACGTATTAATTATCACTCGAATCAACTCGGCGAAAGACGTCGCGTCGTTTAACCTTCGTTCGTCTTTCGTAAACGAACGCGCGCGCGCGCTCGAGAATCTACGAGTCTAGCTCATGCCTCGAAAATTTACAACCGCGTTATTTGTTCTTTTCGTGTTAGACATTTTTAGATATTAATTCCCGATTTGCCAATTCACTTACCATTCGATGCTTCTGTATCCCCGTAAGCAGCAATGAAGTGCCTTGAACGCACCAATGTTGGCGTATTCCGTTGTAACGACCTCCTTTGTGAACCTCAGGCCACCCGGTGGTAGATTGTCAAATTTATGCATGGAGCAGTAGTCCTTTAGCTCGTTGCCCTGGCACATCGCAGTTAGGAGCGACAGGGCGATCAGTCCGTGCTTGACAGGTATCGTCATCTTGAGAAAGAACATTTTCCAATTTTCCAGGAAGTCGGCAAACTGTTTCAAACTCCGTAGTTCCCGAATCCGAGAACCGCCATAACCGAGCTCTCGGAAGTGAAAATCACTGTAGATCCTAATCGTCGGTGGGGTCAGCGGTAGACTTTTTCCGTGAAAGAAAACCGATCCCTTTCTCCCAAAGTCGGCGCCGATTTTAACGTCCAAAGATAAATAAAATGACTACCGTCACTACGTATATGCAACGCTAACCGATTCCTCTGATATTTGTCGTCAAACACAAACTTTCGACTGTGCGTTTACTCGGGCTTTCCAACGACGCTCTCTGCGCGCCGTTTTTTCGTATGAATCGACGAACCGTATATCTAAGTAAACTCTCTAGTTTTAATATCACCTGCAGAGATTTGTTCCCGAAATTCTTTCTGCACTCACGATCACTAATTTGCAATTAGTAACTTCAACCAACGTGAATACTACTCGCTGCGTTAATGTTTTTTTGCGATGCGTTACGGAACGCGGCACTGTTTTCAACGAGCACCTCCGACGCTACCGGAGCGTGTTCCCATCGGCACCAACCGTAAGACTGCACTCGGAAACAAACTGCCGATTATGTATAGCGCGACGTTTCTTGGAACTGAGGAGAAACTGAACGTCGACGATTAGAAAAACAATCGCAATTTAACCTTACGTTTGCCAGCAATTCGAGACTCGACGAACGAACGACCCGAACGCTCCGAAAGCCGACCGCTTACTGTCAGACCGCTGCTTTGAAAACTCCCCGTAGGCCGCGGGTTTAAAACGAGCCGCCTGTTGCCTCGTGCTCGTCCGTTCGGCTCGTTTCGGCTCCTCTCGGCCATCATCGACGGGACACCGACCATCCGACTGATGCTACGGTCGCGTGTAGCTGCAGTTAGTATCTCACCCAAAATGATGGTATGTACCCGGTTTTATCTCGTCTCTGTATAAATATACGTTTCGAGCTGCGTAGTTCAAACTCGAATTTGGCCAAATTTTATCGAATTTGTCGGTTAAAGCCGAAGTGGAACGATGTTGGTTTTCGGAATTGTACAATCGATGGTTGATATATGTATATATATTTCTTCGAGCACTCGTTTCGAGGATTGAGTCTACTGTTCAATCTCTTGTTGTCAGAAACTGACGAGTATACTCGTCATGAAGAAATGGCAATTCTTTTGTGTAACGACAAGAAAAGTAATTGGAATTTGTTGCTTGAATTAACTGTTTTGCGGAGAATAAAACATATATTATAAATTTTGGACGTTTTAGAATATTTTGACTAATTCTTTTCACATCATTTCTGAATAGTTTCTTGCTATTGATAATAATTATTATTAAAACTAGTGTCAATTTCTTTGTAATTTAATTCAGTTTTGCACATACTCTGCGAGTATAATCGTCATCGCGTCGTTCTAACGATACACACGAATTTTAACCTCTTTGCGCCACGCACGTCGAGAATATTTGACCCAAAACTGCAATATTTTCTTAGTTTTAAGTATAACCCAGGCAAAACAAATAATAAATTTATTACTTATTAGTAATTTCTATATCCAGTGAATTCAAAAAGAAGACGAATTGTTGTATACGGTTTGGTCACTCGTTATGGTCCGCAAACCACTTACTAACGCAACGCGGATAAACAAATAATCAAAGCATATCTGTATTTTTCGACGTGACGCGATTAGATACTAGCGAGCAAATTTACAATTTACATCGTTCAAAAGACGATTTCTTAGGGAAATTAGATTGGGCCATTACGATTCCGTGAATACGGAAAACTTTGAATCGACGTGTTTAACATCAACGCTTTAGCATTGACGGATAACATTGTGCTCAAGATGAAGGTGAGTGACATCGCTCAATTCGTCTCGACCAGTTTGAAATTTTGTCAACGTGATTTCTGTGGAAGCGTCGTTTCTGAGTTTACAAAATTACGATCGTTTCTACGTGTTACTACGCGCTTATGATTTCGCAGCAACGAACACAACGTTCTTCGTACGTTCACTCGTGCGCACACGGCCGCCGCTGACTTGCATTCTGGGAATTCGAGTATGCGGTCAGTCGTTTCGTGTCGTGTGGCAACGATTACGCCGGATGATCGTAGTCAGGCCCGCACTGTTTACGTGCATGTGCATGCGATCACGCACACGGGAGTAACTTTTATGCGTGCCGACGGTGAGCACAGTCTTTCTTGTAGAACCAACTTTTTATTTATACCCTTAGAAATAAATCTTTCATCCGACCAGTGCTAAACGACTCAATCTCGGATGATATCGAAGCTCGTCCAATCGACTTTCTTCGACTCGTTAATTTAAAGATTTCCTCGTCAATGTCGATCAACCCTTGAGACGGTTGCTCATTCGAGCAGTTATATTAAAATAATATTCGACGAAGTATGTCGAACGTAATCGGGCTTATCTCGCAGTGAGTCATCAATCTAATACATTTGCCACGAAAGATACCGAGGCGCTATCTCAGAAATGATTCGATACGATCGTGCACGGCAGATTAGAAAGTTAGAGGGGATTCCATTTCTTTTAAGCGAGTTTCTCTACCTGGAAGCAGCTATACTTTACATTACACTGCCGTCGGGAACGGTTTCCGCAGTCGTTTTGCAGAATTGTCAGGAGCCCACCCCTCACGGACAGACTTCAGGGAACAGTCGTGTTATCAATTAGAGTTCCGAGATCACGGTGTACGTAACGAAATTAATCTCCCCTTAATTAATGGCGTTAAGGCGCATCCAGCCGTGGAGGCAGTACGAGTTTCCTCATTAAGGCGACGATACGCGTTCTCAGAAGAGACATCGAAGTAGCCAAGAAAGGTTGTACGACCGGCACACTTTATTGAAATCTTGTACAATTAAAACCGTGTAACAAGTGCTGCGTGTTGCCGACGTTAACCCCTTTGAGTGTAGGTGCGGAACGCGAAATGTTAAAGACTTGTGCAAGTACATACATATTTTGAGCTTGTTTCAACGTCATTAAATTTCGTGTGTATTTATTTTGTATATAACAAATAAATCAATTTGCAAACTGTAAATAAATAAGTCATGTTCGCAGTGGCAGGAATTGAAACTAAATTTTGATACGAAATTGCAAATCAAATGTGCGACAAAGGTGAAATAAATGCAATGTAATTTGTCCAAATCGGTCGCAAATGTTAGAAGCGCAAACAAGATACATTGTGATTGTCGGCATAGGGAGAGACAAGCAATCATCTGCTTTTCCTTGGAATTCGAAGTGTCGAGTGAATGATCAAATTTAATTTAAACATATCTACCAACTATAGTTACAAGATTATGCATCCTGTACCTTTTTTCTGATTGAATATTTGACCTGTGGTTCAGCAAATAAAGGTCTTTTTTTAATTATTGACATTGAATAAAATTTTGATATCATCAAAGTATCCCAAATTTATCATAATTCATAATATTTTCATAATATCTGTCATAAGATACGAGATAAAATATCATTGATGAAATATCATCATTTTCATTGTGTAATCTCAATTAAAATTGCAAAGTCGAAGGTTTAGGTTAGGTTTGATACTTTGATATTTGAAGAACATTTGTATTTTATTCATATGTACCTATTCGATAATTAATAATTTATCTTGGCAAATAATAATTTTGTCAAGAATAATCTAAGGTAAGAAATGAAGCACAGAGAAGAAGGCATTTCTATTTGCGGATCATAATAAATACCCACGGTCATTATGCTCGTCAAAAGTTCTGCGTAATACAACCAGTCACCCATGTCGAATCGGACCTTTCGTTCTGCGACACGACCGACTAGAACAAAAAACGCTAGCGACTGTCATTAGATGCGAGGCACATTGTCATCGATGCAACGTAATTGCGACCCAGGGGAAGTTATCGTGAGGTCTGTCATTATGGAATCGTCGAATTCCGCGAAAAAAGCGAAGGCTGGAAGAAATCCCAAACAAAGCATAAAATATCCTAAGTTGTTTTCTTTTTTCCCCCCAAGACGGAATGACGGATCTTTAGAAAGAAATAATGAAAGACTCTGTCAAGTATTATATAAAATTTTAATAGTTACAGACTAGTTGCGGCGTTATCTACCTGAAATTGATATTTATGCACATGTTACAGATCGATCTTACATCTTAATACTGTAGACTGATTGCAAAGAAATCGGTTATGTTCGAGAATCGTAACAACTGTAATTACGCGTTTCACCGTTAGCGCTGTGATCGTTGCCTAACAATGAGACAAAATCATTTTTGTACGAAGGTATACTGTTTAATCCGGAACGAAAGGTACGAAAATTGTTTCTTTAATCTTTAATCGTTATATGAGATAATATAACAAGATTTATATCACTGTCATAAATTTTGGTCTAAATCAAATAAACGTGTCTTGATTCCAAATTTTAAGTTTCATTAGTTATTTAATTCTGTAGCAACGTAGCGAAAACGCTTCTCTCATATTTGAACGATATCATTTCTAGCCATAATTTCCATTATTATTATGTTCAACGAAATTTTTGTATTTTAGAACGTGAGGCACGAAGTTTGCAGTTTCATGATTTATCTATAGTCAGTGGTGAAATTGAGAAGTTCATCGATCTGTGAATCAAATTTTCAGCTGTCACATTATTGTAAGCTGTAAACATTATTTATGTACCACTGTTTGATTACCCCACATAAATAATTACATTATGCAATTATGCAATTAATTCAGTTATGTTGAACACAGTGGTGCCATCTGTCGGCGAACCATTGATCAATCCACTTACTGAATGAGTGAAAAAAACGGTTTATTTCTTTAGTAATAAACTTTAGTAATAAGCTTTAGTAATTTTCATTAATTAAGCCTGTGATTTAATTACCAACTAGTTAGCAAGTGTAATTAGTGAATAATTAATCCATACTTAAATCATAAATAATAGCTTTTTACAATAACCTTAAGTATAAATTATTTCATAAACCATATTTAAAATCTTGAAATCAACATTTCAACTGAACAATATTTTGCTTTATTTATTAATATTCGAGTGTCTGTAAATTGTCAAGTGACGATTGAAAAAATACTATTGGTGCTGCTGATTTTTATTTGTAAGGCGGGAGATTAATTTATAAACTTTTATAATGGGAACCTCTTATATTCCATTTAACTTACAAAGTTACACAAATATAGATTAATAACATTTAATTTCTTGCAAGATACATTTAAAGTATGAATCAAAATTAAACATAAACATAGTTAGACAACTCTTGCATACAATTTTGGATATGATTATTTACTTATAATACTTTATAATACTTACAATAGTTTAATTTATAAGTTATATAGTTCGATTTACATATTTGTTATATACATATTTGTTAGAAATAGTTCTGAAATCTGACTCTAAGAAGTTCCTAACACACCGAATTAATTTATTTAACATTTCTTCACGCACTATAAAATAATTATAATGATATAAATAATTGCACAATAAATCTTTCTTTGCAATAAATCTTTGACTAACCATTGCAAGTCCCACAATATCCTTATCAATTCAATCTCTAATTTAACTCGTATAAAAAACTACTTTTCAAAACTGGAAATCTTTCTTAATATACTGCTTGGTGAAAATCAAGTCGTTTCTTACGATGTAACCTCTGACGTAAATAGGTTTTTTTTCCTGTTTCGTAGAATTCAATACAAGTTTGCCTTGTGATACTTTGCTGCAATCTCTTCTCTCGACTTCAGTTATTTAGAGATCATGTGCTTTTCCGACGATACGAACATCTCGTTGTATGACTTTTTCTCTTTTTTATAATCTCATTATAAAATCATCTAGCAGCCAGAGGAAACAATCTTTGGTTAGTTTCTCTTCTGTTCTGGCTATCAGTCGTATTCGTTAGTAATTATGTAGTTCAAGTCAGTCGTGCGTCGTTCTCATATCGAGATGACGACAAACTAGTCGGCCGATCCTCGGACACGAGTTCTAACGAGCGGTGAAGCATTTTCGCGGAGGGCGAGCAGTCAACACCGTGAACCTTTGTATCTCGTGTCTCTCTACTTATACCTACACACACATACACAAACAAACACACAAATATACACGCACGTATCTCTCTGTGGCAGAGCTATATATCGACGTTTCAACGGAAATGAGAAACGCCTGACGGTATGTTTCACGTTTTCCTTGCTTTACCAAGAATCCGTAATTACACGGCAGCACACGCCAGTTACAAGCGTTCCCGGCGTGTACATACCGGGTGTCAAGCGGCCGAACGCCGTGAAAAAAAAGAAGCCGCCGTTACGAGATTAGTCCTTAGACGGTGTGCCGGTCGTTTTTACTTTCGTGAGATTCACAGGTGTCCCTCGGAGGAAGCCGTTTCGCTTATTCCGCTGCTACTGTAATTGTCAGCTGTCCGTTCTGCCGCTTATTTCGCCTTCCTCGAATCCCAACCATTTTCCCTCCCCGTATCTCGCGCTCCTCATTTTTCCCTCCACGCTGGAATTAAGTTTCGAACTGTGTAGCTCGTCCATTTTCCTCCGTTCACCGTCTCCAACATTTCCCTTCGTTTCGTCAGCGCATCGCGATTCCATTAAAACGCACGGCTCTTGGTTGCAACACGCGCAACTTCAATTTCAGATTTCACAACTCCGCTGATTCAGTCATCGGCTAATTGCTCGTCCCGCCCTCTGGTGCTAGATGCTTGCACCAAATAAGAAACGAATACGAAACCGTTGAAGCTAAATTGTAAACTACACTGGCTATTGTTTGTTCAGCCAGTTTCACACCGAGAGTCGATTTTGATCGAGTCAAAAAGCTTTGAGAAATATTAATAATAATATTATATTATATATTATTAATTGTATATATTACATTATATTATTATTATATTATATATTATTAATTATATATATCATATTATATTATTATTATTATATATTATATATATCATATTATATTATTATAATTATATATTATATATATTATAGTTAATATTTAACGAAATATTATGAAACTGGCCTAATTTACTAATTATCTCTCGTTTCCAAATTGATGAACAAGGAGGTCTTAAAACGATTCAATCAATCACCAAACGCTAAAGATTACAGACTCAGATTTATGATTTAAATTTTTCTTTCAGATTTAAGATCGAACGATCAATCACTCTGTTGAAAATCTTTTTCGAACATGTGGAAAATAAAAAATAGGAGGAATATTCGTTCCATTCGTTTTTCTCCGACGACGAGTTTATCCTCGGCCAGTGCATCGGTTTTCTCGTCGATTGTTGGCTAATGACGTCGCGGATTTAGGGGGATTTACATCAGTCTAGGAAACGTGACGGATGAATCGAAACAGGGACCAAGAGAACCAGAAAAATCGCCAACGAATTTTCCAACGGACCGCGTGCCCTTTCTTGCCGGAAAGTTTGCAACGTTTCTCAGACGTATCGTATCGGTACAACGATCAAAGAAAAGAGCCGCAGTTAAAGATTGGAAAGTTTCAGCCGAGTTCAACTTACGCCACTGCTCGTGACTTGGGCTTCCTTTTCATCGTTCTTATCCGTGAGGACCGAGGCAATAAACAGAGATCTATCTTTATTTACGTTTTATTTGTTAGACGAAATCGAAGGAACATTTGCAATTATCGATGCTGGCCGCCAATTATGTCCAGCAAGTCGTTGAGCGAGAATTTTTTCAGAAACTTGTTCAAAAAGTTCGCAACAATCGGGCTCGCCTTAGACGATATTTCATTTTGATAATCGTCGAGCAAACCGGGCAATACTTCGGAGATTGCATGGCTCAGTGTATTGGACAAATCATCGTCGTTGAATAATCCGGTCATCTTAAGCTGTAAATATTTTGAGATTAGTCGTTTGACGAGCATCGAGGAACGTTAGTTGTTACAGAACACTTACGTCGAATGTTTTTACATGGACATTCAATACCAAGTCCTTAACGACGATTTTCTCGGACTCCGTGAAGCCTACTTTTAAGTTCACTGACACACCCAGTCCCTTCATGACGAGGCTGAAATTGGAAGAGGACAATTGCTTTTTCATACAGGCGTATTCGATCAAAAGACAAATGATTTTGGAGAAGAAACTTTCGGTATTTAACAATCAGGCAAATACGAACTATTAATAAGTCTTCAGTAAAGTTTTTTTTTTATAATACACATACATCGACAAATTGTTTTTGTACTACTTGGTATTAACGGCTTGATTTAAGCGAAAGTTACAGATACGTTCATTCGATTTAACACGACGGCATTCTACAAACTGGAAAAATTGCAATTTGCAGTGAATCGATGCAGTTTGTCAATTACAGAAATCTACGACAGGGAACGACAATTTTTTACTTTGGTAATAATGCTTTATCGACGTTAGGAAACTGCAAAACCGACTGCAGACGCGTTATCGACGGATCGTAAACGCCTTTTCGAATTCTCGTGGGCGTCTGAGCTTTATCGTTTCGTTCAAAGATGCGACTACTCGCTTGGTGGAAAAATAAAAAGTAAGAAAGCACGTCTTTATTCTCTTTTCTCTTCAGATACAAATTTTATAGCATGTAATATTACTGAAGCTAATAAATGAAAAAAAAAAGATATTCGCTTTCAAAAACATTTGAAAACCGTAAACTTGCCAGATCATTAGACGTATCAATTGTTACAAGTATAAAAGGAAAAAAAAAAAATGGAGGGAAGCTTACGCAATATTTCCGTGTCCGTACAAGAGCATCTGATCCATGAGGGTTCCGTTCACGTTGTACTCGGTCATGAAGTCGATTTGATTAAACAGAAGACTCACGTTGACTACAAGACCAACGATCGAAAAATCGCCTCGGATTACCTTGTAGTCTGATAAACCTATCCCGTGTATATTCTTCAGATATCCCTCCAATCTGTTCGAACAAACAAAAAGTCGATGCTCACTCTTATCACTTATCTCACGCTGTAATTGTAACGGCATAATACGAGACGTATGCTTACGAAACTAGTTCTTCTTCGTGGATGTTCAGGTTCAGTTGGTTTACTTTTAGAGGATCGAGAACGGGGATGCCAAGCTTCGCATCTCCTTTCCTCATCTTCTCCCGGAATTTCTCGAGGAAATCGGTGAGTAGACCTTTTTGGTCGGCGTACGCGCCGTATCCTCTGGTTTCTTCACGAGAACAAACGAATTTTCTTCTAATTTCGATCGAATTCGAAATTAGCTTCGGAACGAGAAAAGTTTTTCACTTACCCTGCACGTTGACAGCGTCGGGCACGAACGCGTGACAGGTGGCCAACACGGTAATTAATATCGTCACGTAGAGATGCATCTCGCTGGAAAGAAAAATCTTGAGACATCTGTTTTCTCATCTCGTTTCTACGCGCTGGTAATCTGTAGTCTCGAGATAATCGATCGATAATGATGATACTCACGCGTGTTTATAATTCAATTATCAAAAGCGGCCACTGTGCTTCTCTCGGAATGTCACATTTCGTTAAATACATCGCCCCTTATATAGGACTTCAGTATCATTTCAAGATCTCTTATCCAACGCAAGATATCGTAATCAATCGGAATATTGATTGATAAATTAAAAAAAGCAAAGTGACAGTAACAGAGATTGCGCATTTCTTTCACTTTGACAATAACAATTTTTCTGGCGCGTTTGTTTGTTTCATGACGACAGTGACTGCGATTATAATCACTTGCTCTGGCAACTGATTGCGGACCATAATGAGTGACCAAACCGTATACAAATAATTCGTCGCTTCCTTTTTGAACTCGTCGGTATATCACTGGATAGAAATTATTGAGAAGTAATAAATTTATTATTTATTTTGCCTGGGTTATACTTCACTACACTTAAAACTGAGAAACTATTACAATTTTGGGAAAAATTCTCGACGTGGCACGTCATTCAAGCGCAAGAGGTTAACCACTTGTTTTGGCAACTTAATTGCGGACCATAAAGAGTGATCAAACCGTACACAATAATTCGTCGCTTCCTTTTTGAACTCGTCAGTATGATATCATTGCATAGAAATTATTAAGAACTTGTTTTCCTGGGTTATACTTCACTACACTTAATATTGAGAAAATATTACAATTTTGGAAAAATTCTCGACGTGCGTGGCACGTCATTCAAGCGTAAGTGGTTAACCACTTGCGTAGCAACTGATTGCGGACCATAAAGAGTGACCAAACCGTATACAATAATTCGTCGCTTTCTTCTTGAACTCGTCGGTATATCATTGGATAGAAATTATTGAGAAGTAATAAATTTATTATTTATTTTGTCTGGGTTATACTTCAATATACTTAAAACTGAGAAAATATTGCAATTTTGGAACAAATAGTTCTCGACGTGCGTGGCACGTCATTCCAGCGCAAGAGGTTAACCACTTGTGCTCGTAACTAATTGCGGACCATAAAGAGTGACCAAACTGTATACAATGAATCGTTGCTTCTTTTTTGAACTCGTCGGTATATCGTTGGATAGAAATTATTGAGAAGTAATAAATTTATTATTTGTTTTGCCTATTTTGTTTTACTTTACTAAATATACTTAAAACTGAGAAAATATTACAATTTTGGAAAAATTCTCGACGTGCGTGGCACGTTATTCCAGCGCAAGAGGTTAAAAGGAACACATAGATGTTCAATTTCGTCGTGTTGGTGGGGAATATCATCGCTGAAAATGACCGTTTGATCACGTCAGATCGGTCGACCTGCGTGGCTACTGATCGGACTGGGACGAGAGCAGAAAATATTTGGAGCGTTTGGAGGAAGGCAGCTCGGCGTGAGGAAAAATTCAATTACAGCCGATCAGGCTGTGTGCAAAATGACACAAGCGCGGCCAACGTACGGTAATTATCATGTCACACATATACACACACACGCGCGCGCGCGCGCGCGCGCACGCACACACACACACACACACACACACACACTCGATGAAGTTTCCATAAATCCGAAAAGGCTGTTTCAGGTGACCATGAAATTCGCGCGGTATCGATCGCCATGGCGTAAATACATGGTTATTGGAAGGCTCTGAAATCAGAGGGAAACGGAGGGAACGGAAGGGTTTCCGATGCAAGGCCGAACGTAAGCCGGCGAATAAACTCTCGACGCGTAGTAAATCGCGAGACAAGTAAGCCTCGCCTCTCGGTGGACGAGGAAAAACGCGCGGAAAGAATTTTGCTTGCCTCCGCGCGGTCACGTAGTTGTTGGCTGATACACGAGTCGACGGTGAGAGTAGAGATTAGTTCTACTCTTACTTCTACTAGTTCTACTCTTCTACTCTTCTCTTTTTTTTTCTTCCAAATAAATTCACGAGAGTACGTCCGAAACGATTTCGCTGGAGATAGAGAGATAGAGAGAGAAAGGGAGAGAAGGCGAATACGCATTCTTCTCTCGTAGAGAGAAAGTTGAAACACGCAAACAGAGAATAAAACGCGCGTGTGCGGCGTTTATTATTCTGTTGGCGTGCAAAGAAAAGTAAAAAAAAGTCAAAGGACGAGGAGGAAGAAGAAGAAGAAGAAGAAGAAGAAGAAGAAGGAAATAAGGGAAGAGAAGGACAATGCAAGAGGTGAAAAGGAACAGGCAAATGAAAAGGGGTGCAGGAGGGGATGCTGGGGAACGCAAGAGAGGGAAACACCGAGCGGCGTACCGCTAGCCGAAGAGGGCAGAGTGGGGTGAATTCGCAGAGGGGATGCCAGGCCAGTTCACCCTTACTTGCCACGGCTCGTCAGTGCGGCCTGAACGGTTAACCGGCCTACTTGTTCGCGTGGTTCTCTTTCGACTCATTTCGTTCATCACGATTTACGCCGTCGTTGTCGTTGTCGTCGACGCTGTTCCCTCGTCGCTGTCGTCGTCGTCGTCGTCGTTATTGTTCCTCAGCCTTCTCGCAACCTGGCCATCGACCACGAGCTACGAACGTTCAGGCTTCGGCAAGCTGATTGCTCGCGCGACCACACACGTGAGTCGTGTAACAAGAGAGAGAGAGAGAGAGTGGTAGATAGCTCGTCGATGCTCGAGCTGGAAGATTCGTCGCCAATCGACAACAGCCATCGCGCGTAGAAGAGAAAAAGGAAAAAAACACCAGGAGGAAGGACGAGAGAAGGTGAAACAAAAAAAAGGGCGAGCGGGGTGAAGAAGAGGAGGCGATCAGTCGCGAAGAAGCAGCAGTGGTACGCACGCACACTGGTGGTTTGGCCTGGCTAAAACCTGGTACTCCGTTGTTCTCGTTGCGGTGCTTGTTGCCGAGCTGGACAGCAGCAGGGGCAGCAGAAGCAGCGACGGTGCTTGGCTCTCTCGGAGATTCGTAAGTTTGCAACTTTGTTAGATTCTTTCGATCGTGACACACGGCACGGTGTTGTTCCTTTCGACAGGTTGCCCTCACCTGTGCGGCATCCAGAAAAATTCGAAAAAATCGTTCGACGTGAACGATTTTATTTAACAGCGTTTAGGAACGTCGTAGCAGCGAAGGTTGTTACGGTGTGTCGATCACGGAAGAAAATTGCATCGCCCTTTGTCCGCAGGATTATATTATTTTTCTTTTTTTTCTTCAACGACCGTTTGCCCGTTTATTAGAAACGTACGCTCGCCGAGCAGCCCGAGATAAGCCGCCGATGAAACGATAACTCGTGCAAAGCGGCTCGTACTCGAAAAAAAAATCGATTTTTTTCAACGTTGGACGACGCGAGCGATTTTTTCTTTTTTTTTTTTTCTTTTCTTGCGCTCGCTCGTCTCGGAGAATCGTTTTACCCATGATTGATAGAATCTGCGTTCCATCACGAAGTTCGGGAGGACGTTTCTTTTCGCGGGTTGTTGCTCATCCAAACGGACGAAAACGGACCTCCTTCTTCCCTCGGAGAGATTAGAAACAGCCAGCCAGTTTCTCGTAATAACGCTGCTTTGTCTTTAGATTGGGCACTGTTTCCCCGAACGGAAAGGTAATTGTTTTAACCACTTGCGCTGGCAACTGATTGCGGACCATAAAGAGTGACCAAACCGTACACCAGCGCAAGAGGTTAAAAGCACAGAGACGTTATTCTTCTTGTTACGTGAATTTCTTCCACGTTGCTTGCACAGAACACATCGTGAAGATTCCTTCGTATCTCGATATTTCGAGTATTTTGTGCTCTTTAACCTCTTGCGCTGAAAATGACTTTCCACACACGTCGAGAATTATTTGTTCCAAAATTGCAATATTTTCTCAGTTTTAACTATATTTAAGTATAACTCGGGCAAAACAAACAATAAGTTTATTTCTCAGTGATTTCTATCCAGTGATATACCGACGAGTTCAAAAAGAATGCGACGAATTATTGTGTACGGTTTGGTCACTCGTTATGGTCCGCAATCAGTGGTTAACCTCTTGGATTGAAATGACTTGCCACGCACATCAAGAATTTTTGCCCCAAAATTGCAATATTTTCTCAGTTTTAAGTATATTTAAGTATAACTCAGGCAAAACAAGTAATAAATTTATTTTTCAATAATTTCTATCCAGTGATATACCGACGAGTTCAAAAAGAAAATGACGAATTATTGTGTACGGTTTGGTCACTCGTTATGGTCCGCAATCAGTGGTTAACTTCTTGCGCTGAAATGACTTTCCACGCACGTCAAGAATTATTTGTTTCAAAATTGCAATATTTTTTCAGTTTTAATTATATTTAAGTATAACCCAGGCAAAACAAACAATAAGTTTATTTCTCAGTGATTTCTATCCAGTGATATACCGACGAGTTCAAAAAGAATGCGACGAATTATTGTGTACGGTTTGGTCACTCGTTATGGTCCGCAATTAGTTGCTAGCGCAAGTGGATAAGAGAGACTCAGTCGCTGGAGGGAGTCGTGAAAACGACAAAAATCGTAGGTCGTAGGCGTCTCTCTCTCTTTTCTTCTTCGAGGCTGGCAGAAGGACAAGATCGCTCGGCCAGGAACAATAAGTTCCATCAGTCCGCGTGAGTTACAAGCGACGAGAGCCACCGGATCACCCGGATAAGATCAACAAACGGATATCAAGGTATATACGGCGGGGATTAATGGCGGCTTGGTTTGCCAGTTGGTTCGGTGATAAATTTCGATAGGCTTAAGCTCCCTGGATACACCCAAGATCGAAGATGGGATTCCCGTGTTCGAGGTCAACCGGTAAATCTCGCTGCTCGTTGGGTTCTACACGGTGAAGGTCGCCGCTCTCTTTCGTTCTCCACGTCCTCCGCGATTTGCCATTCGCGTAAAGGGGTTGCGATACACACATACACACCCCGGACTGGTCAGCTCCAGAACGTTTCATCGTCTTTGCGCGTCTTTATCTCGTCTTTTCCAAGGTAACTTCTTTGTTTCGTAGTTTCCTTTTTTCCCGGCAAAGGCCGCACTTTTCACGAGGGTATCACGCGACAGAAAAGGCCCCTGGGAGAAAAGAGACGGTCAGAAAAAATATGTTCGAGAAAACACCAAGTGAAAGAAAACCGAGCTTCTTGAATAGATTTTCCGAGTAGAAAGTTTTTTATCGACCGTCGGTGCTCGACTATGCGAAAAATGTTCATCTATCTCGTCTCGTCTCGTCAGTCGAGCTAAATATTAGCAATCTAGTCTGGTCGTGTGCGAAACGAACAAACACAAATACAAATACTCGGCGTGGAGTGACTGGCATCGATAAAAATCGAACAGGTGGATCGTTGCTTTGTCGACGAAAACAATTTGAAGGAGAGGACACTCGATGTTTTGCCGAGTCTGTTTACCAGCCGACGTAAAATAGAGATAAGAACATACGTAACGTCTATTGTACGCGCGATCGAGATTCTGCGTTCTTTAATTAACGAGGACGACTAAAGCACAAAGATCGTATCGAAGAGATTGAAGCGCAAAATGAATGGCAAAAAGTTTATGACGCAAAACACGAAAAAAAAATTATCCGAATCACTGAAAGTACGATACGGTTGTAAATCTGTTTGGGATTATATTCCGAAAAATTGTTTAAATTGGTAGTTCCGCATTTCTTTGATTAACTGCCGACGCCTGAAGCACAAAGATCGAAGAAATTGAAGTGCAAAGTGACTAGCAAAAAGTTTATAAAGGACACAGAAAGAAATTATCCAGATCACTGAAAATACAACACAGTCGTAAATCTTGTATTATATTCCGAAAGATTGTTGAAATTGATAGTTGTAGATCACCGTCCGTGTGAAAACGAATCGTCGAAATTGTCAAAAGAAAGACGAAGAAGACGAAGAAAACGATTTCGCATCTCTGGACTGGAAAAGGGAATTAAATTTCCGAGAGAATTGCGGTTCCCATTATCTCGCTCTCTTTGTCCGTTTCTCGCGAACCATTTGTCATTTGGTATTTGGCGCGCGCGCTTTCGAAAGCTCGATGTTGCAGCATTTGCACGGTTGTCTCGCGGCCGATAATATATTTAGCGCTCTCCAGGGGGTGCAGCACACTCTCACGGCCGTCGAGGGCGTTAAAAAAACAATGACAAGGTTATACACGTGACAAAAAGAAAATTGACGCGTGCTCGGTGCGCGTGGAGGCTCGTTTCTCTTCTTTTTTTTTTTCTCTCCCTCCCCTCTACTCCTCCCGTGGCTTGGCACGCCGAAGCTTTGTCGGATCAAGGGTCGTGTCAAAAGCTCTGCAAAGAGAGAGAAAAAGAAAGAGAGAGTTGGTGTGTACGTGTGTATGTGTGTGTGTGGCTGAGAAAGAGAGAAGAAAGAGGGAGCAAAAAGAGAGTGAACAGTGGCGTGGGGCGGAGGAGAGTGAGAAAGAGCGAGCGAACGGCAAAGGGGCAGGAAGAGAAAGAAGTGGCAGTAGACGGTAAAGCGACGGTGTAAAGTAAACGTTGGACACACACGGGTGGCCTTTGCTTTCGTTTGAACTCACAATCAGTACCGACTAAAAATAGGAACCGTGACCTAACTACGCTCGATTCCACAATTATACATTTCCTCCCGTTGTGCCGACTATTTTTCACTCCCCGCGGCCGAATCAATGCGCCGTTAATACAAGCGTCTGGTGTGTCGCGACTGGCGGAGTCGATCGAGAGAGAGGAGAAACCCACCGTCTATACATACATACACAGCGTCCGTCGTGTTACGCGTCGCTGAAAGTGAGATGAAATTCAGATGGATCGAGGCAAACAGGGTCGAGTCGATATATACCTATATAAATATAAATATATATATATATATATGTATATTTCTTTCTCTTTCTTTCTCCAACGATCGGTTCGAACGGCAGTTCTTCAAGAAAGAGAGAGAGAGAGAGAGAGAGTCTCTCTTTATGAAAAATAAACGATGGCGAGAATTATGAATCGCTGCCGCTGTCCTCTGCCCTCCTGTGCACAAAAATCTACCGTAGTCGAACTCTTAGTGTGTAAGTATCTTTAATTAATCGCTATGACGGGCAATTATAATCGCTATTTTGCACCGAGCCTGCTGTATCTTGCCGATCGTCGATATTCTCGTATCATTTCATTTCGTTAGGTGTAGGTTAGGTTAGATTTCGATGTTTGATTTGGTTAGGTTAGGTCAGATTTCGTTGCTTAGGTTAGGCTAGATTTCGATGTTTCATTTGGTTAGGTTTAGGTTAGATTTGGATGTTCCTTCGAACAAGGGCGAAGCAGTTCATTGATCACGAAGGAAACAAACAGAAATATACATTTCAAGTTGGTCTCGAGAGCCTCGTCTGAACGAGATGCTAGTTCAACTCGTAAGCGCAAAGGAGATCGTGTATGGTAGGTGGTACGTCGTATATCGTGTATCGTATCGCGTGTGTTATGAAACCACGCGAGTAAAACTCACTCAGTTTAGCATAAACGACTGAATGAGGGGCGAGGGTTCTCCTGCGGCTTTGGAGGCTCGCAATTTCTCTAATACGTCGCCGCAGTTGCAAAGTCACGTTCTCGCGCTAATTAACGCTTGACGATTTCAGTTAATCTTCGCCAAGTTTACGACCCCCCCCCCCCCACCTCGTCTCCAGCCTCCTCGGGATTTCGAGTTAAAATAAATCAGGGCGTTGGAACGTAACTTTCAAAGATCGTCGAATTAACACTGGAACTACCAAAACATTTGAATATTTTTGTTGGAATATTTTATGGAGATATAAAACAGAGTATTTTTGGAGACTTCGTAAAATACATAAACAAAAGTTTTGTGTATCGTATCGTATTATAAGGACTTTCCGTTTGTTTTACTTTAACGTTTCTGATGGAAATTTTATGCTTCAGTCGTTGGTAGTTTTAGTGTTGGTGTCCCCAAAAATAATTTTCTTATTTGACAAACTACCAGACTACCAAACTACCAAAATTCCTTATTT